GTGACCGACACCAACGCGGCCCCCATAGTTGTAAAGTGGCAACTCACTCGGCACTTGGCCCGATGGGATTTGATTACCTACAATTGATAAAAAGCACTGGTCGTGTGACTGAGATTGTTAGTTTGATCTGTTTATTAAAAGATAACGAGAATATCCACTTGGGAGAGAAAGTATGTGGTTTATATGTCCTCCGTAGGTAAAGGTAGATTATCTACTTCGGTATTACGTTACCATACAGGCTCTTCCGAAATCACACCATCGGTGCCTCAAATGATCCCATCGTCCTTGCGGGGGAGTACGTCAGTACCGGATCACATCCCCTGATCTCCGTTGCAGGCGGGAACTACTTTGAACTAATCGATTTGGGATGCAATTGCAATGTCCAGGCCTTTTATGGAGTACAGGATGGTCGAATCTAAAGAGAATATGATCTTCATTGGGTATCGGAATACATTACATGAAAATACATACCCTTTTCCGTCTTGGCCTGCATCTGTTTGCTGTTTTGGTCCGTCGCTCTCGAATTATCTCGTTTTTGCCTCTTTGGGTCTTTTCTTTTAAAAATCTTTTTTTTTCCTTTGTTCCCCACATTCTCCCTCGACTTCATATATCACTCGCTCTCCCACACTTTCTTCCTTCTTCATTCCTTTCTCCCTCAAATTAATTCCACCTCCCGCCTTCCGTTGGCCGTCTATTGAACTGGATATTCACCATGGCGACCAAGAAGCCCAACATCCTCTACATCATGGCCGACCAGATGGCCGCGCCCTTGTTGTCCCTGCATGACAAGAACTCGCCCATTAAGACTCCTAATCTAGATCGCCTCGCCGAGGGCGGTGTAGTCTTCAACTCCGCATACTGTAACTCACCACTGTGTGCGCCTTCGCGATTTGTCATGGTCAGCGGCCAGCTGCCCTCCAACATTGGCGCCTACGATAATGCGGCCGAACTGCCTGCGGACACCCCGACATATGCGCACTATCTGCGACGAGAGGGATACCACACAGCCTTGGCCGGAAAGATGCACTTCTGTGGCCCGGACCAGCTCCACGGATATGAACAGCGTTTGACCAGTGATATTTACCCTGGTGATTACGGCTGGTCCGTCAATTGGGATGAGCCTGTAGGTCAACTTGCGAACACCCGGCTGTGGCACCACTGATTGGAATTTAGGACATCCGTGCCGACTGGTACCACAACATGTCCTCCGTGATGGAGGCAGGTCCCGTTGTACGCACCAATCAATTGGATTTTGACGAGGAAGTGATTTACAAGTCGACCCAATACCTATACGACCATGTTCGGCAGCGCACCGAGCAGCCTTTCTGCTTGACAGTCTCCATGACCCACCCGCACGACCCGTACGCCATGACTAAGGAGTTCTGGGACCTGTACAATGATGTGGAGATCCCATTGCCGAAGAATGGAGCTATTCCCCACGACCAGCAGGATGCGCACTCGCAGCGCGTGCTCAAGTGCATCGACTTGTTCAACAAGGAGATGCCCGACGAGCGCATCCGTGCCGCCCGCCGCGCCTACTATGCCGCCTGCACATACGTTGATACCAACATCGGCAAGCTGCTGCGTGTTCTCGAAAGCACCGGTCTGGACGACGACACCATCATTGTCTTCACTGGCGATCACGGTGACATGCTCGGCGAGCGCGGTCTGTGGTACAAGATGACCTGGTTCGAGAATTCGGCCCGCGTTCCTTTCCTCGTCCACTCGCCCAAGCGGTTCACTCCGAAGCGCGTGTCGGAGAACGTTTCCACCATGGATATCCTCCCTACATTCGTCGAATTAGCAGGTTGCAAACTCGTCTCCGAACTTCCTCTCGACGGTGTGTCTCTCGTGCCGTATTTGACCGGCGGCGAGGGTCTCCGCACTGATACTGTCTACGGCGAGTACATGGGCGAGGGCACCCAGGCTCCCCTCATGATGATCCGTCGCGGCCGCTGGAAGTTCATCTACTCCACCATCGACCCACCTATGCTCTACGATCTCGTCAACGACCCAGAGGAGAGGACCAACCTCGCAGCTGGCCTCCCCATCCCATCCAGCTCCACCCGCGCAGCCATAATAGCCAACCAGACCAACTTATCATCTATCAACTTACCAACCCCTGACGACACCCCGCACGCATCGCCAGTTCCTCAGCGTGTCAACTCGGCAGACTACCCCTTCCCCTCGAACACCCCCCCTCGCACTCCAAGCCCCGCCAAGCTCCCGCCTGCAGTGCCTAAAACCACCGACCCGATTAAAATCCTGGCGTTCTTCCTCGAGGAAACCCACACTCGCTGGGATTTGGAGAAGATCCATCAGGATGTACTGCGCTCCCAGCGCCGTCGCCGTCTGGTCTACTCCGCTCTGATCCAGGGTACCCAGAACGTCTGGGACTACGAGCCACGCGTCGACCCAAGTACTCAGTACGTGCGCAACCAGGGCAAGGGCGCCCTCGACGATGTCGAGCTCATCTCGCGCTGGCCCCGTATTCTCCAGCAAGCCGCTACTGCCAATGGGATGTCTGCATAATCACCCCGATCAGGTTTTCTGAATATACCCATTGACTCGACATTGAAAATATTCCATTCTTGCATTCTTTATCTTTATTCATTTCTCTTGCATTTCAGCACCATTTCTATTACCTTTTTGCGGCATTCCCGGCATTCTTTCATATCGGGATCCAATTCTTCTTTTTTCAGTGTTGATATTTCTGGATTCTTTACATCTCTCATTCTCATAGTAAGGCGCGCGCTATACCCGGGACTTATTCCCCAATCTGCATCTTTTCATGTCGGTTGTGGCTACGTGGATTATTTTGTACATAGTTGTGCTCATGGTTCCCCGGGTTGGGTGTCTTACCCTGTATATTGCGGCTGGTTTGGGGTATTACATAGACAAAATGCAATCAGACTGTCATTTGGGCTTCTGTAATGGTGGTCCACGTTCTTAAGCCATAATCACCATATATGTAAATTGTATTCCACCCAGACGTCCTCTGGTAACATCAGTTGAACGCCGATCGCTAGATCTAGATACCAGGAGATGGCCAACATGGAGGATCAAGCGGCTCGGCGCGTTGAGATATTCTTTTCATACATGAGCCCGAAGTATCATAGTAAGAACTGGTCGCTCTAGGACACACCTGCTCTTATAGATCTCATATCCCACAAGTCTGTAGATTTTAGAAAATACCCCGCCATATTCCGCGTTGCACTGCTTCCAAAGTACAAAGTAAGGACCGAGAGGACTAACTCCCGAGAAATAGCCGGTTCATTTTATGTTTGGATCTTGATCCTTTAACATTCGAACTAACTCATATCAAAACCAGTCTCTCAATGAAGTTTCTCTGCTATATTTCGAATGAATTGAACATGCCCGTCAAGATGTTAGTCTTTCTTTATCGCAACCTCCGCCTGACACCGGAAGAATTCATGAAGTACTACGAAGCGCACGTCAAACTCGTCAAGAAGCTGGCAGGCACGGATTTCCCCCTTTCACATCATCGAAATTATATCGCCCGCAATACAGTCGATATTCCCCCGGATGGCTTTACCGCGCGCAATGCCTTCATCCCGGCGACGATACTCCGCGGGCGACAGCCAGAGTTCGACTTTGACGCCTACGCCGAACTTACTTTCGCAGATCAGGTTTCCTACCAGGCCTTTGCGGCCAAGATCTATGCCCCGGATGCCGCTGCCCAGATAACTGCTGACGAGGATGAATTTTGGATCGGTTGAAGGTGGGAGTCGCCTTGGTAGGGGAGGTGAGAGTTACTGTGAAATGAGGTACTTTCTTGTCGGAGCTGGTGATCGGACTTGTTTGCGATGCATGTTGGAAGTCCGATGTGATCATGAGGTATACCTTCGGTGTAGTATCTTTCAACATGAGGGATATTCTCAAGAACCTAGTATATGCCCAATGAAACGTCTTTCAAGTATAACTCCACTAACATTCCTCTATCTATACTCGGTCACGTTTGACTCCCAAAATTGCAAAAGGACCAAATGCATAAAGCCAAGACATGTGAAGAACTCCCCTCTTCGATCATGAGATGATCTCAGTGGCTTGACTCCTCAGCTTATCTTATGGCCCCTTGAAATGGCACATGCTTCGGTCGCATGGTCTCGGTGCTACATTGGCATTCCATTTATCCTTCTCACAGGGGCCGTTCCTGCCCGGCAAACCGGGTACATTGATATGTGTCAGACTGCATATCCTTAGACCCTAATCAGAACCTTAAACCAGTATAAACCCTCACTTGGCTTGATAATACCGCTCAGTTACATTCATTAACACGAGTTAGGACGAGGGGGGTGGATGCTACAACGTCTGAAGATAGAGCTTCTACCGATTTAATTTGTTCCGGGCTCCTGACTGTGCATGAGTAAAGCATTTCATATGACAATGTCACCCATCCCCAAAAGTCTCCACGACTGATTGGTGGAGGGATTCTTAGTCCCCCACGAGGACAGATAAGTCGAGTTGTGACAAAGGGATCAAGCCCAATTTCAGAATGTTACACACTTGTGTGGTGTGCCATGCTGTTGGCGTCTACTATCCATGACACGGTTAGTACAGGGTATATCATAATCGGGTCTTCATAGTGTGGGGAGGATGTACTGTGGCGCTGCTTAATTGGCCGCCAACCTCATATTGATCATTGGATTCGCCGGTGGCTTGTCTTCCTGAATGTGACAATGTGCAGAATCCTATTGATTCCCCCGATATCAATAGCTGAAACGATGGGGCCCTCTTGGTCAGGCAGGTCACCCTTCCGGTAACAGGGTACTATTGACTGTTTGAGCTGTGGACAAACGGGATGAGTAGACACAATTACTATTGTCCGGTTGCTCAATACTCCGCGGGGGAAGTCATTTGTTTGTCGACTTCTACTATAAATAGTGAGGTCATTTCCCTGATGCTCGAACTCAACAACCTTCATCACACAACCTCGCTTGGCCGAGACACCAGAAATTTTGTCCACACACTCCTTCATCATGCAATTTGTCATTCCTTTCCTTCTAGGCCTGAGCTGGCTCGCCAACGCTGCCTACATCCCTGCCCTGAGGACCAAAAGCACTGAGATTGTATCTCGTGATGCTGGAGAGTACCGCTCGGTGGCATACTTTGTGAACTGGGTAAGTTTAGACCATATACAGTGTGTCACTGGATGAAATTGGGGATATAAAAACCTCATCATCCAATCATTCAATTATCTAAACAGGAAGCCACGCTAATTAAACTGTTCAGGCCATCTACGGTCGTAACTTCCAACCCCAGGATCTTCCCGCTGAGCGACTGACTCATGTGCTTTATGCATTTGCCAACCTCCACCCTGACACAGGCGAGGTCTACCTGTCGGACCCCTGGGCAGACATTGACAAGCACTATGCCAATGATTCCTGGAATGATTCCGGAGACAATGTCTATGGCTGTGTCAAGCAGCTGTTCTTACTCAAGAAGAGCAACAAGAAGCTCAAGGTCCTTCTGTCGATTGGAGGATGGACCTATTCTCCCAGCTTTGCAACTGCCTTTGACACCGAGGATGGACGGCAGAAGTTTGCTGATTCTGCCACGGATCTGCTGAAGAACTTGGGATTCGACGGTATTGATGTTGATTATGAGGTCAGTCTACAGTTGCCATTTGGAGATGTTGATGCTTATCAATACTACAGTACCCTGCTACCGATGATCAGGCGGACAAATTTGTCGATGCACTCCGACGACTTCGTGAGGTATGTGATTTCTTGATGGATATCCATGGGTCCTGGCTAATCAAATTCAGGCTTTGGATTCCTACGGCTCTAGTGACGCCGGAAACTATCATTTCCTGCTTACTGCCGCATCTCCTGCTGGTAAGTTTTATTTCCGTCCTTGGACAATTCCAAAATAACTGACACAAGTAGGCCCACTCCACTACCGTCAGGAACGTCTGAAAGAGATGGACCAGTACCTTGATTTCTGGAACCTCATGGCCTACGATTACTCCGGTAGCTGGGACACAGTTGCCGGTCATAACGCCAACCTCCACGCCTCGACCGACGACCCGGCCAGCACGCCATTTAACACGGACCAAGCCCTCGACTATTACATCGGGGAAGGCGTAGCTGCAAACAAGATTGTGCTGGGAATGCCACTGTATGGTCGAGCGTTTACCAATACCGACGGCCCGGGAAAGCCATACAATGGCGTTGGATCAGGCACATGGGAGAATGGCATTTGGGACTACAAGGGCCTGCCTTTGCCCGACTGTAACGTGACAGACTTGGGTCAAATAGGTGCAAGCTACTGCTACAACCAGGACAGCCGACTGTTCATCAGCTACGACACGCCCGAGATTGCGCGCATCAAGGCGCAGTACATCCAGTCCCGCGGACTGGGCGGTGGAATGTGGTGGGAGAGCAGCTCTGATAAGACTGGCGAGGACAGTTTGATTACAACTGTATGTGACGTTCTTTTGATATATGATTCAACCGTTTACTAACATATACACAGGTTGTGGATACACTTGGAGGTGTCGACGCTTTGGAGCAGAGCAGCAATCAGCTGCAGTACCCTGACTCCAAGTACGTTAACTTGAAGAACGGTTTCGATTAGATTATGTTCATTTGGCTGTCAATATTGCAATATTGGAGATTTCTCGCTGACATATGCATTGGGACATTTAACTATGGTTGTTATGTGATGGACGATGGGAAGTGCGCCTCTCGCTTGCATCTATCTCGCACATTTATGAGGTGGAAATACTATTAAGATTGAACTTTGCTTGAATTGTATGGATCGGATGTAGTAGATATAGATTGTGTTTTGCTCCCCAACATCACTCTCCACAACCATTGTACAATACATAGTGACTAACTACAAAGTATATGTATTCTATTTCTCGGGCGAGAGCAATTTATACTCAAAAATAGGAATTCATATGCATACGAGTATAATTCCCTTTCAGCCAATGAGAGTGGCCTATAGACAATATTCCGCCATCACGGCCCACTGTGATGCTATAACATCATACCAGAGTGACCGCGGGGCCGCGGGGTTCTTTTTCGATTAAAATATAACTTCGTTTCTCTTGTAGAAGGAAATAGTACTTTGTATTGTTTCCTAGCTTCTAGCCCGAAATCAAAATGTCGACTCAAGTATCAGACGAGAAGCCTCGCAAATCGCTCATCCTCAATGCCTTTGTGGAAATGTGTACGAAGCCCATTCATACCACTTATGGAGCTCATCTCTGATAATCATTACAGGCAGCGGGCATCAGTCGCCAGGACTATGGCGCCACCCCGAGGACGAGTCGTATCGCTTCAATGATGTCGACCACTGGATCGAGCTGGCCCAATTACTCGAGTCGGCCAAGTTCCATGGCATTTTCTTCGCAGATGTTCTAGGTAAATAGGTCAACTGTGGCATGTTAGGCGAGAAGTCTAACAAATATCTCTTTCTAGGAGGATACGATGTCTATAAAGGACCCAGAAACCTCGAACCTGCTATCATCTCCGGTGCTCAGTGGCCAGTGAACGAGCCCTTGTCTGTTGTCCCAGCGATGGCGGCGGCCACGAAGAATATTGGATTTGGAGTGACGGTCACCACAAGCTACGAGCAGCCATATCATCTTGCGAGACGACTGTCTACGGTCGATCACCTTACCAAAGGACGGTATGTGAAGCTAGTACCAGTTTTGAGATCGAGTTGCTAATTAAACCTTTATAGCCTGGGATGGAACGTGAGTAACACGCTGAACTCGAAGAACGGGATCCTCAAAGGAATATGTACTAACAATCCCCTCAGGTTGTAACAGGATACCTCGACTCTGCCGCCCGCAATATGGGCCAAGCCGAGCAGCTGCATGTAAAGCCTCGCATTCCATATTCACATATATCTACAACCCACTAACAAGAAACCAGCACGACGACCGCTACCTCCTCGCCGAAGAATACATCAAAGTAACCTACAAGCTATGGGAGTCCTCCTGGCGCCAAGACGCCGTCATCCGCGACCGCGAGCGCGGCATCTACACCGACCCAACCGGCGTGCGTCAAATCGACCACGTCGGCAAATACTTCAACGTGCCCGGGCCTCATCTTTGCCAGCCCAGCCCACAGCGCACACCGGTGATCCTGCAAGCCGGCACGTCGAAAGCAGGCAAGACCTTCGCCGCGCAGCATGCAGAGGCTATCTTCGTGGCGGGCCACAGCCCCTCCGTAGTAGCGAAGAACGTCAGGGAGATTCGCGAGCTTGCACAGAGCGAGTACGGACGTGATCCGCAGAGTATTAAGTTCCTCGCACTCCTCTGCCCTGTCCTCGGCAAGACCGAGGAGGAGGCCGTGGAGAAGTTCAAGTATTACCGCAGTCTGGGGTCCATTGATGGAGCGCTTGCGCTGTTTGGTGGCTGGACCGGCATTGATCTGGATAAGTATGGAGATGATGAGGAGCTGCGACATGTTGAGAGTAATGCTATCCGGTATGTGATAATTCTCCTTTTCAGCTTGGCAGAGACTGACTCGCGATTTCTGTAGCTCTGCTGTGGAAGGCTGGTCTAAGGCCACACCTGAAGTGGCTAAATGGACCAAGACTACTGTCGGCCAACACATCACCGTCGGAGGGCTGGGTGCCACTCCTGTCGGCACAGCTGCTCAAGTTGCTGATTACATGGAGCGATGGGTAAAAGAAGCCGATGTGGATGGGTTTAACCTGGTAAGTTGTGTTATTGAAACAGTCTGTTGTCGAGACAATTAATAACACTATTCGCAGGCATACGCAATCAAGCCCGGCTCCTTCAAGGATATCATTGATCTCCTTATTCCCGAGCTTCGCAAGCGAGGCCTGTTCTGGGACGACTATGCCGTGCCTAAGGGAACCTACCGTGAGAACCTATACGGACAGCCTGGCCAGTCCGGACCCCATGCAGACCACCCTGCTTCGAGGTACCGATGGAATGCTGGCGTGGATGCTTCTGATGCTGTCATCCCGGAGAACTGAATGCTATACCTGACATCATTTAAGAAATTGAATTGCAATGACCAACAAATAATTAGAACAATCAATTTTTAGACAGACTATCCGTAGATTACCTGCAAGGCCCGCACAGGACCTGTTCTATGGACGCCAAGAAAATGCAGATTTTGTACACAATCATAACCAAAGCTCTAAGTCAACATGTCATCGAGACGCTCACCAAGGACCTTCTCGATCTGCTTAACCCATCTACGGACCTCTCTCTCAACACTCTCATCCTCGTCTTCCATAAGCTCACTGATGTAAGGCAGCATCTCTGGCAGAAGTGCCAGCCACTCCTCACCCAGTTGCTCCGTAAGAGCCTGTTCGGTCTTGAGGGCTGCGAGACGGGTGTGGGGGCTGTCGCCACCAGCGAAGCGGGCGTTGGGCGCAGAGGAGGGGCGCAGGTATTTCATCAGCGCGGAGTTCAGCTCCTTGTGGTTATCTGTGGAGTCGGCGGCGATGGCCAGTTCAGTGATTGTGGGCACGACGTCGGCAATGACCATGTTCGAGGTGGTGGTGCTGTTTGCGTGGCCGAGCTGGGCGATCAAAGGACCGGAAATGCTGGCGAGATGGGAGGGGCTTTGCCAGAATTCTGCATAGATGTTAGTGGCCGTAATGAGCTATATTGGGCGCAGAGGGAACCTACCATCCTGGTCATGCTCGAAGGACTTGCGGAGCATACGAAGGGCAGCCAACCAGAGGGACTTTTGGGCCTTGGAGGGACCCGTCGTGTTTAGAACACTGACAACGTTCTCCAACACATAGCTGGAGTACCCGGTGACAATTGACTGAAGAAGATATTAGCGAGATTAATGTATGGAAAAATTGCGAGGTAACATACCTGGAGAGTACCAAAGAAGACCTCGAGGAACTTGTAGAAAGTCGTGAGGCGCGAGGTTTGATCCTGTTCGCTCTTGGGAGCGCCGGTAGTGGCCCATTCAACAAACTTGAGGAAGATGGGCCGGAACGTGCTGTCATTCAGCTTGTAGATCATCTTGATTGTAACGTCATTGAGTGCCACTTCGGCCTCATCAATAGCAGTCGATTCGAAGACAGCCTTGTCGCCAAGAGCAATCTGTTCCCGGCGAAGATCGAACGCCTTGAAGAGAATCTTCGTAAGGACGCCGATGTTCTTCGCAATGGCCGACTTGGGGTGCTTGTCAACAGCAATCGTGACAACTTCCAAGAGTTCGTTCACAGCAATCGGGCCAGCCTTGACGGCGTGCTGCCAATTCCGATCGACGGCGCCGAGAGTTGCGCCCAGATCCACCTTGCGGGCCATCAACCGCAGGGACTCCTGGCGGCTTTCATCACTGCTCTCCTCGATGTCCGCATTAGCAGACTTGAAGGACAGGAGAAGCATCTTGTCCAGATCGCCAGCCGAGATCATGAATGGCAGGTGAGCGAAAACGGCAGAGAAGAGGGTGAAGACGGCGTCGTGGAGTCGCGAGTTCTCCTTGCCAGGGACCAGACTCAACTCGAGCAATTCTAATGAACGCTTGAGTGTGTCCGGGAGGGCAGGAATCATGGCTTGACCCAGCACCTCAGCCATAGAGGCCAAGCACAGGATACCCATGTAGCGAATGCGGTCATCGGATTGGCCGAGGCAAGATTCACTGGCAACCACTCTAGCGGCAGCAATGACCTTGGACGGGTCCTTACGGCCGTACTTGTCGGTGATGCGGTCAATGCACGAAACAGCAGCATGCTTGAGCAGCGTATCCGGAGACGACTCGACAATGCTAACCAGGGTGGGCAAGAAGTCGAGAACCCGGATCTGCGACAGGTTGTCACGCTCGGGGTTCTGGCGGAGGCGAGTCTCGAGCAAACGGAGAACCTTGCGTCGAAGTTCGTCATTGGGACCCTGGAGTAGAACCTCAATGGTATCCAGGAAGTCGACGAGAGACAGAGTGCTAAACAGAGAGCCGAGGACCTCACCACAAGCCTGGCTGACGGGCTTCATACTCTGCACAGCCTCGCCGATGCTCAGCACCTGGGTCAGAACTCGGGAGAAGCAAGCGCGGGACTGATCAGCAAACTCGTCGTCCGACTCAAAGGCCGTCTCAAGCTTGGACTTGAGAGAAGAGTGCTTGAACAAGTGAGCAAGATCACGCAGGAGATCAACGCAGATGCTCTGGGCGTCGCGTCCATCGTCACTGCCAATTCCAAGAAGAACCTGAGAGATACCTGGTTTGGTCTTGAGAGCATCGCTGACCAAGTTCAAGTACTTGCTGTAGGTGGTAAGCTCTACGACAGTTGTAGTGTCAGAGACCAGACCAGTCATCAGAGTGAGCACATCCTTGTCGGTGGAGTATCGGTTAGCGAGCATTGCCAAAACGGCGAACAGGAAGTCTTGTGTTCCCAGCTTGCTGATCAAGGCATGGAAGAGTCTCAAACGGCGATGGGCGGGGATGTGCTCGAAGGCTGCAGTGAAACTGAGCAGTAGCTCGGATGTTCCGGAGACAACATCCCTCTTCTGGTTACGCAGAGACTGGATAAGAGCAGGAACAACTTGGTCAATGGTTTGGTCAATGACCGAAACAGAGTAGTCATCATCCTTGCGTAGAACGGTAGTGCCCATGAACGTGAAGATCGGCATGACGCTGTGGAGAACCAACTCGGGCGCAATGACAGACAGACTACCTACGAGAAGAAGAGCGCCGTTCTGAACCTGCGGGCTGTCGGTTGTTCGGACACAATCCACCACCAGGTCGGCCCTGATGACGGATGTATCGAACTTCGGCTTAACAGATCCCTTAGATGTGTTCACAATAGCCAAGAGACTTCCCAAAGTCAGGCTGAGGAGATAGCTCATGCCAGACTGGATCTGGGACTTGAAGTGATGAAGAGCCGCTAGAGTCTGGAACAATCCACCTGCAAGCTCAGGATGAGTTTCTGGGGAGGAGCTATCCACGATCTCCAAGATGAAAGTCATCTTGTCCATCAAATTGCTAAGCTCTGCTTCGTCCTTGACAGTCATCGCAATCATGTTGTTCTGGCTAGTACGTCTCCGCTTCGGTGCTGGACCAACAGACTCAACATCGGTGATAGACACAGGAATCTTTTGGACAAATTGCTGAAGAACAGCACCGGAAAGCTCGACAGTGCGAAGAACGTCGCGGCAGTTATTCGCCAGAGAAGCGGCATTGACCGATCGCGAAAGAGAGATATCGAGCAACTTCTCGGATGCAGTCAACTGACGGTCTTCGGGAATCTTAGCCCAGATGTGTTTGATTTGACCAAAGCAAGCCGCAACAAAGGACGGGCGCAAATCACCACCAGAGCTGACATTGGAGAGGAGAACATCGATGGCGTCCTTGTCTTTGGATGTGACAATAGCAGCAATCAAATTCTCTGTCTCAGATGCCACGATGCGCTCCTTGCCACAAATTTCCTCGACTTCCTTGTCGCTCAAGCGACGCCAATCCTCGAGCACCGGGAGAAGCTCACTGGTCAGGGTTGCAGTAGAGACCTTCTCCACGCTGTTTACCAACTTCAGCAAGCTAATCTTGGGTGCGAACACTGGCATCTTGACAACATGAGAGCAGATGAACGCAAAGAGACTAAGGCGGAGAGACTTCTTGAGTTCGGATGCACCCGAAGCTTCTGACAAAACGTTGCCCCGAAGAGTAGCTTCCATCATCCTACCGACATGGTTAGAGTCAAGGATAGACTCCTCCAACCCTGGAAGCAATGCCCGCTCCAAAACCTTTTGCGAATCCTTGGTGGTCAGCCATGCAACACCCGTGGGCTTGCCCTTGCCGTAGATTGAGTCGTGAGCCCATGGCTTCGAGCTGTCACCGGAAGTGGTGTTCTTTTTGTACAAAGATCCGATAATAGCCAAGATGCCAGCAGTCTGACGGCGAATCCGTTCTGAAGGATCAGAGAGGGCTACAAACAGGAATGGCAGTAGTGCCTGAGGGTCAAAGTCCGCGGGTGCCGACGAAAGAACAGATGATACAACGTTCAAAGCAGCGATCTTTGTTCCGATGGGGTAGTGGCCAGCAACGACTCTGACAAAGAAGGATAGATATTGAGGTGTTTTGATCGCCTGGGACTTGCCCAAGATTGGCAAATTGGTGAAAAGCTCGAGATTGTCCTCGGAGTCCACCGCCAAGGCGAAAACGCGAACCAGGTTATCGAATTCGGTGATAGACTGTTTGGAGAGGAAGGAGTATGGGAACAAGGACTCTTTGATCAAAGACTCCAAGGCTGGGGTAAACGCGTCCACCTGGGGCTGATCATCCGCATCGATCATATCCACATCTTCGATGGCCTGTGCCACAACTGGGGCCTCGACAACGGTCTGAAGGTTGTGCTCTAGCGCCGAGATGTTGAGCGAAGATTCAGTCAAAACCTTCTGGAAAATAGGTTGCAGAGTTTCAGACCGGTTGAATCCTTGAACCAGTTCAGCAAGCTGTGTCTGGGCATCCAAAGACATTCCGCGGGTATCATCTGCATTGGAAGCTGCTTCGAGAACCAGGCTCATAGCCTTGGCAATCTCATTCTCACCAAGCATCTTGCGTTCAAAGACGGAGGCCAGAATTGCAAGGCGAGCATTGTCCTGCTTGTCAAGATCAGTCAAGCAACCGGCAATGACTCCAAGCAATAATTTTGATGTCTGATATTGTGGCGCGATTTCAGAAAGTTGGGCGATAGGATTCTCGAGGCGCAAGATGCCCTTAAAGACCCTTTTGGGGATTGTAACAGTAGGCTTCTGCTGTGCAAGGACCGAAAGACAAATCAGACCAGATATCTTTGTATCTTCTGTCCAAGAACCCACAACACTCTCCATTAGGCCATCGGTAACTTCGTTCGAGAGGAAGGCCTTCTGTGCCAGTACAACGCAGATCATATAGGAGCCAACGATCAATTCCGAAACATTCTTCATTGTGAAAGCGTTACTGAGTACCGGCAAAATCCGCAAAAGGATATCTTCATGCTTTTGCTTCTCGGCCTCTCTTCTCCCCGAGCGAGCGCCATCCAACATTGTTGCGACAGCCTCCGTGACAATTCCGGCCCAAAATGCAAGTAGTGCATGGCTTTGGGCCTGTTGCCTACAAACTTTCAGGACGTATTCGTTTAATTCGGAAAAGAAAGGCTTGTTCGTGGCTGCGCTATGAACAAGCGGGTGCCTTGGTGGATTAATGAGACCGTTCTTGTATGGAATAAGGACTTTGAATGCTGGCGTAAGAGTTTCCGGAAGAATAGAGAGAAGGTTCAAGAAGAGCGGCGTCGTATGATACGGCAAAAACGTCAATAATACGGCGGTTGTGTTGAACTCGTGGATCCTGTCACATAAGTCAGCCACCACTCCTCACGATCTGCACCTCCCCTCACAATTTATTCTTACCTGAACCTTCTAACAAGCCAATCCACAGCTTTCACTGCAGGACTCAACTGGAGCCTGCCGCCAACCAGAGCTAGGAAAGCTTCAACCACAGTATCCAGTTCTTTATTCTGGGCTACGTTCATCTGACTGCGGTCCTCCGCTTTGCTCTGCTCGCTGAATATCGTGCGATCAAACTCCGTAAACCGGGGGTCCAACGAGCATAATTCCCGGAATCCGTCATAACAAATATCATAGATCGCATCGAAGTCTTGAGTGCCGGCGACTTTTGGGTCAAAAATAAGTGACTGTGAGTGTAACACCCTTTGCGCCTTAAGGTCAAGCTCGTGTGCCGACTTGGCCGCAATTTGCGACAGCTGCGCGGCGAGAGACGAAGCCATTGTGAAGTCTCTTTTGGCGGGCTGTTCCGCGGACTTTTCTTGTTATTTTTGTATTGGTGCTCACACAATTGCACAGTGACCCATATCCCTAAGACTTTTGAGGGTAGTCTTTCTTTTTCTTTGCGAACCGAGGGCAGGTTCAAATAATTTGAGGTAAGTCTTCAGCTTTGCTTGACCAAAAGCAAATGGTTGACTTTTTTTTTTGCCAGCCATCCCGACCGCCTATCGGAGAATGATTCTTCCGGGTTATCAGACCGCGGCGCGACTCGATAAGGAAGATCGAGCCACCACGATGGACTCACCTGGGTCTCAGGTTAGTTAGCCTTTACTTACATCTTAGTAAATAAGAGGCACAGACTGACAAAAATAAAGGGTGTCCCGCAATTCTCCAGCTTCCAACCTCCCCCTACCGCTCCTCCGGCCCCCGCTACCGGCTCGGACCATGAACGTCGCCGGCGTCGCTCGCGCCATCGTCGTCGCGCAGACCGCAAAGAGTCTCCACGCTCACGTCGCCATGAACCGCGTTCGGACGGTTACCGTCAACAGGCGACAGATGAAAAATTTGAGAAGCGCCTGAGTGGGGAAGGAATTGCCGATCTAAACGCTACAAAAGATGAGCCGAACAAAGGATTCGTCGTCGACAGCCGCGGCGATCGCGACAATACACGTTACGGCGTGGATCGTTACGAGGTCCCTGCATACCACCGCAATGGCAATGGTTTTGTACTTGGGCTCCCCGGCCAGCGCATTGATTACCAAACGCGATATGACCAAGGCCCTCTTCTCCTTCTTCGCCCCGACTCAGGCTCGTCAACCTCCGCAGTCAAGCCCCTCTCCGCCGAAACCCTGTCTGCTTTGTCCGCCAATCTTCCCGTTCGCCTCCGGTCTGATCTTAATGCCAACCTTGCTGCCGAGAACTCACATACACAAAATTTCATCTCAACAACAGTCCCATCTCAATCCGGCGTTGCGACAACTGCCAACCTAGATGATGAACCACCGTCTTATCGCTCTATCGAGATCCCGGATAAATCCGAAGAACAAGCGACTGAGGATGATGCGAAGACCTTCATTCGTCTTGCTGTCGAAGCTGAGATTTTGAATCGCAATGCCAAGTTGAACAGCGCAGTGGCACAACATCCTAATGATATTCAGGCATGGATCCGTCTTGCTGAGCATCAAGAACTTGCCGTCACCGGCGGGACATCTGGCGATCGGTCTTCCTATCGCGATCATATACAACTTGTGGCAAGAGCCAAGCTTTATGTGTATGAAAGAGCGATCAAGGCCAACGCACAAAATCCAGAACGCGATCATCTTGTGCTGGGCCGTATGGAAGAAGGCGCGAAAGTCTGGGACTCCACAAAACTTTCATTGGAATGGGACGGAGTCCTCCGCCGTCACTCTGAGTTCATCAATATATGGATTGAGTATCTTGACTACTGTCAGACTGACAGTCAGGATTTTAACTTTGATACTTGCTTTAAGACTTATGCCTACTGTTTGAAGCTACATTCACGTGTCGGCTTCGGGCCGCGGAAAACTCTTATCAGGTCATACTTGCTGCTCCGTTTGACCCTGTTTCTTCGAGAATCGGGCCACGTAGAGCTAGCTGTCGGTATATGGCAAGCGGTGCTCGAATTCACATGCTTCCGGTCAGCACATCTAAAGGGAAAGAGAGAAGAGGCCCTAGTTGAGTTTGAAAAGCTCTGGAAACCTGGGCACATCCGGATTGGGGAGCCTCATTGGCAACCCTGGAACAGTGGACAAACCTCCCGTCCCTCTATCAACGAGCATGTTTACACTTCTGAGGCGAATACCACAGAGTTGTTCCCATCCTGGGTACGTGCAGAGAGAGAGCGGATGTTCAAAAATCGCATGCCGTCACATGCCTTTGGTGAAACTGGAGAGAATGACGGTTTCCGAGTAGTCCTTCTTGAAGATCTCACGCAGATACTTCCTTATTTCTTGGATTTGGAAGAAAGCCTTGGTTCCCTAGTTGATGGCTTCTTGTATTTCTGCCATTTGCCTCACTTGACAATGCCTGCGAATATGCACACCAGCCGGCTGTGGACCGGTGACAATTTCGTGCGAAACGAATATATGGATGATCCTCGAAACACAATCGCGGACTGGATCACTTTTGAGAAGTTTGCCTCAACCACAAGCCTTGCGCCTTTCGCATTCCCTCATCAGACCTTCGTTCACACCACCGATACTCTTTTCGCCGATCCAAAGCTGTGGTTCTCTGCTTTAACGAAGTGGGCTGCAACCACCTCTCATTCTTCCTGTGTCATCGATCCCGACTTTGTAATCTTGACTCTCCATGCCCTTGTCGATATCTTCAAAGATAGCCAATTGGCTGAATACGCTATTGCAGTCACTTTCGCGTGTGACAACGCTCTAGGCAAGAAATACGGAAAGAGACTCTTGAAGGAGCGATCATCAAATCTGAGACTTTATAATGCCGTTGCGCTCATGTATTGGCGGACTGGCGATCTTGATGTTGCTCACAATGTGTGGTCCACCGCTTTGTCTATGAGCCAGAATTTTGACGCCCGCGAGCTCACTGACTCTGCACTTCTGTGGAACTCTTGGATATGGGAAATGCTTCACGCTGGGAACAAGAATCGTGCTTCATACCTGTTGCAGGCCATGCCTTATAATCGAGTCCACTTGCTATCATACGACACAGCTGATGAACTTGAAATCAATGAAACCACTTTTCTTAGGGTCAAGAAGGCAAGTTCTCATTCGTTGATCTCACTGAATGCTGTCCTAACCATCCACAGTGCTTGTTTGCCGCTCAGAGGAATGCCTTGAAGTTCAAGAAAATGCAAGCATATGTAGCTTACGTCGACTGCTATGCCATCGCCCTCTATCTCATGGGCGAGCAGCTTGAAGAAGTTCTTGATGTCTACAATGACGCCGCCACTTCTCTTAGAGTCTTACCCAGGACTGATGATGATTCCAGGGTGTTTGGCGGAGAATTGCTACACCAAGCACGAGCACGGATCATTTACCACTATGTGGAGAAGCAGAGTGGTCAATTCAGACCCGCTGACATTCGTGCGCAGCTCCTGGATAGCCTGGAATGGTGGCCTCACAACACCATGTTCTTGTCGCTGTTCAAATGGAACGACGCTCGTTTGAATCTGAGCGATCGAACCCGCGATATCTTCGACGTCACTATCGGGGCGAAGGCCAGGGCCGCCCGACATCTGCAAGGGCCTGCCCCAATCTACCGTGTACCCGTCACAACTCACATTTTTAGCATCTATGCTGAGATGGGTCGCCCTCTCCTACTCGGTTCGACCGCGCACTCCATTCGGGCAGCCTTCGAGCGGGCGATTGGTGATCATGGCATACTCCCGATCGGGCGGACCCCAACTCGAAAGAGTCCTTTTGAGCTGGCGAGCTCAACCTCCGCGCGGACCAGCCTCACCATCTGGAGGCTGTACATTCTCTACGAGCTGTACGCGGAGTACAACGTCGGCCGCGCCCGCGAGATCTTCTTCCGGGCCCTGCGCTCTTGCCCCTGGTCGAAGGAGCTGTACCTACTCGCCTTCGAGCACTTGCGGGCGGATTTGACCGACCGCCTGCCCCCCCTCAGTCTCAACCGGCAGGGAGAGGCCAGCTCGTCGGGGTTCAACGCTGCAGAGCTTCGGGCTTTGTACTTGGAGATGCTGCGTCGTGGACTCCGTATTCACTACTACTTGGAGGACCCTATGGGCCGAGTAGGCCCAGAGGGGGTCTGATACTGGCGGCTGGGCGGTGGAGGAGGAGAGGGGAGAGAAGAGTGGAGAATACAAGACCATGAGCGGGTGAAGGGGGTGACCTAGATGGGATAAAAGTAATATCATCCAATTCAAAAGTAAAAACCCCGTGCTTTGCTCGATATCCGGGGGTCTAGCAGCGTAGCAACGTAGGGAGTCTCGAATCGATCACAACTTTGGTCCAAACCTCGGACACTTTCCACACTAAAGTCCTGGATGAACAATCTCCTCACAACTGCAGAATCATTGTGCCACTGAGCGGAGGACGCGAGGTGGGAATTTGATTTTTACCAATCTTGCGGACCTTCATTTAGTCTAGGTATGTCAATATAAAACAGCTTCTCGTGAACTTCATGGCAGGCAAATGGGACAAAATTGTAGTTACAATGGGCCTACTAAATAAAGGAGCCAACATATCAATCCAAATAGAGTAAATGCCATCGCCGTTATACAATCTTTCTTGGTTAGATACAACTATGCTTCCTCACCAAAGAACCGATTCTTAGGTCTCGGTAGGCCAAAGTGCTCACGCAGTGTCGAACCGGTATACTCTTTGCGGAAAAGACCTCTTCGCTGGAGTTCAGGAATCAATCTATCCGTCACCTCTTCCAGGCCCTGTGGCAAGAACGGAAACGTGCACGTGAAACCATCAGAAGCTTCCTCGCGCAACCAGATCTCCATTTCATCGGCGATATCGCTTGGCGAACCGAGGAATGTCAGCCCTGAGTATCCACCATATCGTTGGGCAAGCTGGCGGATCGTGAGTCCCTCTTTCTTGGCTAGCTTTTCAACGGACTCCCTGCTCGTCTTGCTCGCATTGGTCTCGGGCAGATCGTCTGGCAATAGACTATCCGGATCAAGGCCACTGACATCCACTCCAAGTGAGATTGACAAGGAAGCGATGGCACTGTCGTAATGCACCAGACTATCCAACTTGAGTCTCTTCTCCTGCGCATCTTGCTTGCTATCCCCAACGATAATCATTGCCGCGGGTAAAATTTTCAAGAGATCTCTCTTCCGTCCGGCCTTCTCCACTCGCCCCTTGATATCCGCATAGAGTGCCTTCGCACTATCAATATCCTTTGGACTGCAAAACACAACCTCGGCAGTCTCAGCCGCAAGCTGTCGTCCTGGCTCGCTTTGCCCAGCCTGAACGATAACTGGCCATCCCTGGGGTGGCCTGGCAATATTCAACGGCCCTCGAACCTTCAACTCATCACCGGAATGGTTCAGCACGTGCATTTTCGCAGGATCGAAATATTCTCCCGTCTCGACATTGCGAGTGAAAGCATCATCGGCAAAACTATCCCACAGCCCGGTGACGACATCATAAAATTCGCGGGCACGCTTATATCGATCACCATGGGCCAGATGCTCATCGAAGCCGAAATTATGGCTTGACTCTGGGTTTCCGGTAGTCACGATATTCCACGCTGCTCGCCCACCACTCAGGTGATCGAGACTGGCAAATCGCCGGGCAACATGATACGGTGCGTCGTAAGTCGTACTAGCAGTAGCAGCAAGACCGATCTTCTCCGTCACGGAAGAGAGAGCGGAGAGCAGAGTAAATGGCTCGAATGAGGTGACCGTGTGACTGCGCTTGAGAGCTTCGACGGGCATGTTCAGCACGGCGAGATGATCAGCCATGAAGAAGGCATCGAACTTGGCGGCCTCTAGCTTTTGGGCGAACTGGGCAATGTGTTTGAAATTGAAGTTGGCGTCGGGATATGAGCCCGGATAGCGCCATGCACCCGTGTGTAGCGAGACTGGCCGCATGAAGGCCGTGAGGTGCAGCTGACGGTTGGGTTGCGAGTCGGTCATTGTGGAGTTGATTTGGGTATCCTCTAGGTTGGATTTTTCAATCTTTCCAGATGTGATTCATACAAATAGGTTAATTAGAATCGCTGGGGTTATATACTCTGTACCCCGCCTGTTGTGGCATTTCCAAGCCGATTTATAAGCCTCGCTCACTTGGCCTTGATATGGCGTGCTTAGAGCTGCGTAACTATATATAGCTGTGTATAGTTGTCCAACCATTCTGAGATCCTCATTTATCGCAAATCTTATACTTTGAAACCCTCTAGTCAAGAAAATATTGAACGAGGGGTACCCTCTGTTGAAATTTAATCTGCTGTCTATGTAGAATGACACAATAAAGAAATCCAAAGGAAGCAAAGAAGAAGCAGAAAACAAGGCACTCGGATTCACGGCAGATCAGGTACCTGCGTACATACGTAGGAGAATCCTAGACCTCATACAAGCCAAGCAAAGCAAGAAAAAGAAGCAAGCAAAAAGTCGAAAAGACGAACTCCCCTTCTCTGCGTAAACAGGCAGTGGAATTTATCGCAACCGAACCCAAGTGGCCCCGGTTATCTCTTTGATGTCCGCAATAAGATCCTCAATGTGGGTGAAGTTGGCAGTCAGTGTTTCCTCCCGACCCGCAAAAGGCAAGCCGACTACCACATGATCTCTTTTGGTATAAACCAAGGAACCGGAGTCTCCAGGACGTGCAAAAAGACGTAAATCGGTGCCGCTGGCTATCACGGTATGTTCCACCGTCGGAACAGAAGTTTTAATTCCATCAATCATTTCGTGCTTGACATGAGCCTCTTTGAGGGAGTAGTCGCCCTCGGAGTACCCGGAGCGTTGTCCCGAAAGGCACAGCCTTAAGTTGTCGAACTTGTCAGGTAGGGGCGATCCCTGGAGTACATGCCCCCTGGGAGTCTAATGAACAGTTAGATTCAGCGTATATAGTAAGGCTTTCTTCCAATAGCCAAACTCACGACGTTGCTCGACAATCCATCATCCGGTACCTCGACCAAGCCCCAATCGCAGTTGATACGGTGTCCATTTGCACCCTGTCTTGTCCTGAGCCCGGATGCCGCCCAGACTCTCTCGAATCTTGGGTCAAAATCTTTGATATTGTCAAGGAAACCCCGCTAATAGGACAATTCCTTCTCGTTCTTCAGATATTTGGTTTTCTCCGTTGGTCGAACATTCTGTTTATGGGTAACGAGTACCCCAGAGAGCTGGTGAGCCGATGTGTCGATTTTCTCAATCTCCTCTTCTAGCGCGGTTCTCTTCTCTCGGATCGCACGAGAGCTGGGGTGATAGACTGTCAAATTGCGTGAACTTGTTTCATTGGGGCCGATGCCGAATTCGACCATCGTCTGATTATCCTGATCGTCGCCCGCGGCTTACCCTCCTCCGTTCGGTTGATGACATGGAAGCATGTTACGGCAACAAATTTCTGTGTGCCGTCGGGCGATGCGGAATATATTAAAGTCAAGGCCAATGTTTAAGCTGGAGCTCCTTGGTAATTCTTGCGTGCACTTGAAGATATATCAAAGAATAGGGGTGTTCCGACTCCAAAGGCCAAAATTGAAATGGGAAGTCGGGATTTGGGATCGTGATTTCGAAATTGATGTGACCAAGCTGGTTTTCGGATAGATTTTGCTAGATTTGGCGACAGGCTTGTACCCAAGTGTCGCTAAATGTGTCACGAATTGCAGTGATGATCAAAGTCGGCGCGGGTTCCTTAACCTTTAATATTTGTATTGACATTTTTTGATCTTGATAGATGTTGCATTGACTTTGTACTGACCAAGAACCGAAAGAATCATTTTATGAACGCTGATGGTTTCGAAAACTGTCCATAAAGGGGACTTGCCGTCCAGATTGAAAATTGTCACGGGTAGGGAACAGAGATATGGCCCTCCAGCGCGAATTTGCTCATTGATGAATCCATCTGAATCGACCTGCCACTGGCCCGGGTCGTGAATACTATCGCAGCTGGTCCGAAGACGCTGGCCATCTCGAAGAGGAGAGGCGTATGCTGCTAGGACTTGGGAGCCTGTAGGGCGGTCCTCCTCCTCCTCCTCTGATTCAGCGTCATGCTGAGACGATTTATCAAAGCTTTCGATGGAGGACGATTCGGATTTGGCACCAGAGGAGCTATTCGAAACCGCAGAAGAGTACCCATCAGAGGAGTCACCAGGGAACGTGTTGAGCATGGCGCTAGGGTCTTTCTGGCTAGAGCTGGGGGTATGAAATGGGTCGTTCTCAGAGGCGCTGTCACACAGGATGCCAGTTTGAACTTCACTACCACGGTCATACTGGGCAGACATGTCTAATAAAGTGCTAGTGCTGACTTCGAGATTCTTCTGGCAGGCGGGCCAAACGAATCCCCTTCTCTCGATTTAGGTTGTATCGCAATAGAAGTCTCAGTTGTGTGCCACTGCACAGGCACGCTGGTTTCGATGTCACAGTTCCCCTCGGCAGACGGGTCAGGCATGATGACAGTGTCAGTGTTAAACTGAGCAGGTATATCTGACGAAGCGCTAGTTTTTTCTTGAGTAGGCAGTTCAAGCAACTCTATGGGTAGAGGCTTGAGGCTCATCTCTGTAGAAATCTCAGGGATGATTATTTGAAGGTACAAATGATAAAAGTGAAATGATGTAGAAGAGAAAGAAAGTGGAGTGGGTGGAGAAGATATGCGGCTCGACGGCCTTGGTAAACCTTAAATTTGGATACACAGGGTCACGTGATGAACTATTTGTCTCACAGGGGCATCCTCATCCACAACACACCCAAAGCGTCTCATTATTAGACCCACAATTTTCCCAATAGCCTGATACTCATGTGATCAAGTGCTACAAGCTTTCCTAGGAGGAGGTAGTATCAGGACCATAGCATTTGATTGAACATGTACCGACACCTATCCACGCGTGTTTGGTGCTACGTTCGTATGATACAAGGCCCAAAGCAATATTGCCGGTCAATCACGAAACATTCACGCATGCTCTATTCTCACTCAGGTAGGTATGCCTGCCTAAACGTGATTTAACAGTCACTCATTCGTATCAGACTGGAATTCTGACGATGAATTTTATAAATTCACGCGTAGTCGCTTTCTTGTAGACGAGGCGGAAAACCTTCGAAGGCGAGAGATCAAATTCGACTTGAATAGGCTCGCAAGTGTTGCGGCGGACTCGATCGGCGCTGCTCAATGCATTTCCATCATCAAGTACCCCGACGGTATGTTCAACAAAACATTCCTTATGACGATGGAAGATGGCCGAGAAGTCGTAGCTAAGGTGCCTAACCCTAATGCTGGTGTTCCCCACTTTACCATGACCAGTGAATTTTCCACGACGGACTTCGTAGGTTTATTTGAAACTCGGTCGACGCCAAATCTTGCTAATGCGACTGGATTGGGGGGCTCGCAAAAATCCTCAACACACCAGCACGTCATGTCCAGGTATGGAACTCGCAAGCAAAGTCACATCCTGTTGGGGCTGAATTTATTATCATGGCTAAAATTGAGGGTATCTCGCTGTCCCAAGTCTGGAGCACGATGCAAGTACACTAGAGGCTTAAAGTTATTCTTGCCATGACAAGTCTGCGAAAGCAATGGCTCAGCGTTTCATTCTCACATTACGGTAGCTTGTACTACGCTAGAGACGTGCAGTTCCCAGCAGGCAACCACTATGTCAAGGATGGCATGGCCGTCAAAGATTCAGAGTTTGCTATTGGCCCCGCTACTGGTCGGGATTGGTTTGATGCGGGCAGATCAATTTTGGATATTGAAAGAAGACCATGTACGTCAGAGTTTGTATTTTCTTTCTCTCAGCTGCTGACGAGTTCGTAGGGGCTTCTCCAACGCAGTACCTGCAAGCCGTCGGAACGCGGGAGATCAAAGCAATCCAATTTCTGAAACCACCCAAACAGACTGCCTTATTCTGTGGCCCAAAGCTCCACCAACCGGACGCAGAAAAGAAGCTTACCGCGTTAGCATGGTACCAAAAGATCGTCGATGCCATTATCCCAAAGGACACCTCCATTACCAACCCATATCTCTGGCATGATGATTTGCATGATGACAACATCTTCGTAGACCCAGACAACCCTGAAAGGATTACGGGTATCATTGACTGGCAGCCTTGCCGCATCTCACCCCTCATCAGCTATAACCCCAATCCAGCTTTCCTCGACTGGGATGGCCTTGAGCCAGAAACGCTCGATCTAGCACCAAGACCGACACTCGCTAGGCTTTCCCCCGACGAACGGTCCGCGGCTATGCACGAGTATACAGTTCAAAATATGTTCATTGGATGGCGAAATCTCATGCGTGCTAAGAATCCAGACTTATATCGGGTAGTCGAATTCCGAAAGACGGCAGCGTTCGGACTGATATTTCTCGCCCACCGCATGTTCGAATACGGTGAACCGCACTTCCTATCGCTTCTAGTCGATTTGAAGGACATGTGGGCGGACTTACCCGGCGTCATTAGCGACATTCCATTCCCATTTGAGTTTTCGGAAACGGACTTGGAGCGCATCAAGCTGGACTGCGATAAAAGTACGGAGTAATTGTCGTAGTGGCCTGATTCGTCGCCCGTAGTCCGCTGCAGGGTTACCATAAGTTATAACTTAGGGCAGGCTTCGATGCGCGGTGTTGATATAGGTCATAATAAATGCCATGGTCTCTATTTATTGTCTAGAGGGTGCTATGTCGGTTCTGTTTCTTATTGGATATTATTCAAAGAACATTGTCAAGTCTATTGCCATATATTCCTACCACCCAGCATTCCCACCGTATCCACGTATATTGATTGCTTCTCGCCGCTCGATTCATTCATACTCTCAAGATGTAAAATCCGTTTAGAAGAGCTAACATAGAGAGTTCATGAAATCATAGAAAAGTATAACAAAAAGAGAGATTCGTGATTCGTGTCATATATGATAGAACAAAAACAAGAAAAAGCAAAGGGGCACCAGAAACAAGACTAGAAGTGTTCCTTCCAGAATTTGAACCGGACATCCCTGGTTGATGAATATTTGGCCGCATCGCTAATCTGCATGGCAGCAGTATTAGGACCACAGAAATAAACACCAATTTCGGTGGTAGCAGCGCTCTGCAGACCCGTCATGTAGGACTGGTCCAGCAAGCCAAGCCGCATAGCCGTGAAGAGTCGCTTGAAGTCCGGACGACCAAAGTTCGTCCGACTTTTTAGCTCGGTGAGAGGGTCAAGGGCCTGCCCGACAGAGTTGAGGTAGATATTGGCAGCGGTATCGGCGTCGAGACGCTGTGTGAGGTAGGTGTGGATACGCAAGAACTCGGTGCTTCCCTCGCTAGCAGCGGTGTTGGCGGATTGGGCTTCGAGGGAAGATAGCAGAGCTTGGAACCACTCAAATGACGAGGTATCCTTACAGACCCAGATAAACTCAACACGTCGCAGTCGGCGAGGAGGGTTTGGACTTGAGCGGAGATGCCAAATGTTCTTGAGAATAGATGCCCAGGGTGTGACGCCGATGCCGGTGCCGATGAGCACGGCGATTTCGTTGTCGAACACGTCTTCTGCGGGTGCACCATATGGTCCATCGATGCGGATGGAGGGCATGGTCTGTCCGTTCTGCAGGGCAACTTCGTACATGCCGTTGGGATCGAGACCTTCAAGGTCTTTGGCTTGGGCGGGACCGCAACCGAGTGCATCTCCAAGTGCTCGGGTGAAATCTCCGACTTGACGGACGTGAATGCTGAGATATGGATCAAAGGGACAGGAGGTAATGGTGAATGGATGCCATTGGGTGCTGGAAACATCAGGCACTTGAAGGAATAACCATTGTCCTGCTTTGTACTTCATGCTTGGTTTGTGGAACTGGATCTCCATGGCGGCTGGGGTTCTTTTGTTAGCTGAGGTCAATTCAATATTTGCGAGAGAAGATCATACCATAAGGATGGCGAATGACTTTTGTGATGACTGTCACGCGCCGGGATCGGATCTCCCTGTACAGTCGTTCGAAGAGATACAAAGTTCCGATGACCAACTCCCATCTCCATCCTTCATAGCCAAGACAATGATTCCAGAACTGTTTCCCTGCGAAAGGAGAGATAGGGCTCGCGGTATCCCGGACAAAGCACCCAGTGGAGTGGGTGTAGAGAGCTAGCATGAACGGAATAAAAAGGTGATGCGCATACCAGAAGGTTTCATATGCTTGTTGGCGGATGCGGTGATGTGCGGTTGTATACATGAGCATCATGCACAAGAGCATGACATGGCCAGTGATACCACCTGCGCGAGCAAAATGGATCTCCACTGCAAGTTCTGGGCGGAGTTGCCTCTTTTCGATGTGGTAGAAGCTACTTAGTGTCAGTAAAGTACCCGCGACAAGCTGTATGAGGAAGCAGCCTACTTGACATAGTGAGCAGCAGTGTGAATAGCTGTGAATACTAGTATAGAATAAGCTATTTGCCGATGGAACCACGCCGATTCATCTAGTGGTAGCCATTTGATCTGTGGTCTGAGCCATCGGAGGACGTTCCGACACATAGGAAATAGGATTAAAGTGCAATCGATGGAAAGAACGAGACCTGCACCTCGCGATATCCAGACTGAATAGCCAAGTGTATTTAGTGACGCCAACTTTGGATTTGATGCCTGCAGGTACCTATAAGAATGTCAGCAACAAGATCTAGCAGTAGAACATCAGAATACATACCATCCTGCAGCAAAGATCCCAATATGTACACCCCAAAAGAACAAATGGAACAAGACCTTCGAAACGGTCAAGTTCGCCCTCTTCCACCAGGAATCTTGAGCTGCGGCCATTCTTTCTCTGTGCTTTTGAGAATGTCGACCAGCGACAAGTATTTAGGCAATAAACTAATCAAAGGAGTGACGGGTCCAGACGGTTGACCAGCAACCCGGTAATATACACTGAAATTCTGTCGAAAGCGAAATCTCCTGGCTCCCTTTTGTGGCAAGACTCCAGTGTCAATTTTGACCGGTCGGTGCTTGCAGAGTTCGTCAACGGCGTTGTTTCTCCATGAATTTGGCGTAAATCAAGATTTCCTAGGGTAATTTTCGCTTCGAAGTTGAAGAGCGGATTTGAAAAAAAAAACCAAATACTGTTGAACGCCTCGCACAAGGAAAAGTACGCTCGAAACTTGTGATAGTACTCAATCAAGATGTATAGAAATAGGATGTGAGTTGTGCGCCTTGTCGCGAGCGCTGTTGCCGGGGGATTCCCCTGCACGTGTCCTCTCGAATAAAAGAGGTTATTGACACACTTGAGATAAATATGAAATCGATTTGATTCAAGCTGGTCCAGACATGGTTGACGTCAATAGATGGAATAAGGGCAAGATCGGAGATGGGTTGGAGGTTCAGAGAATCCCAGTGTTGTGGTTTTAGCTGCAGGGATGGGGGGCAGCCGATCTATAATTACATCGCTTCTGGCGGGCAATACTCCGTTTAACCGACTACGTACACGAGTCTACAATGTCTGTGCTTTTAGAATTCTCCTATGAATGAGTGGTAGGAAGACCAAGAGAGGAAGTCCAGAGGCTAGAATCTTGATCGCTTGAAAATCCTCGTTAGTTTTTGCCTGTTCTCTCCCGACTGCTGTCTTGGCTGATTATTCCAAGCCTTTCAAAAGTCCTGCTTTTGATCCTGGGCCTGGGATTTTATTAATACTCTGAGAAGTGTGCTATTTTTAATGACCGTTCGTAGCAGGTACACCAATCATGAAACGAAGTTTATACGCCCTAGAGTCCGACCACCGTGCCATGTTCCCCGCGAAGAAGCGAGTCTAGTGGGAAAAAGGAAGCACCCTGTTCGACCAATCCTATCCAATTCGGCAGTTTTCCCTGATCATAACAGGCTTGAACAGGTGCAAGCTAAATCGGTCGCCGAAGTTCAAAGAGATTAATGGCCCGGGGGTGGCAGAGAGGCTGGTGACTGGGCAACGTCAAACTAGGCCAGGGAAAGAAGGTTGCTAAGAGGTTGGCCTATCAGAGGCCTCCTGCAAGCGCTGTCCTCTCGTCACACGGAGCCCCGAGGGTCGCCCAGCGTCGGTGAAAAGGCAAAAAGCCTGCCATTCTGTTCAGGATCCATACGGCGGAGAGAATAGAAGTTTCGCCAAATATAGATCAGTGATGATTTGAACTATATTGCGTGTTTTCCATAAACTATACCTTTTTTCCGATAAAATTCTCCACTTGGCACTGCAAGTTAAATCAGGCACGGGCTGACTCTGCAGAAGATGCAGAAAGACGGTGTGTTGCACTGAATTGGAATCAGGGCTACTGTGGTCATCTGATCTGGATGTTCCAAACTTGTCTCTACAACAAAACTGAGACCATGCAGACAACCCCGGACAATCCAAAAAACACAGGCCTCGGTTCAAATCCCCAGGAATAATAAAAATACAATTCGAATGTCCATGAGACTTGAAAATGAAAGCCCCTGTGCGTGCCATGCATGCACCTGCAGTTCATCACGCCAAGCCCAAGCGCTCTGGCCTGTGATTTGCCGACATCCACTTCGCGATCCGCTCCGTCACATCCTCCGCTCGCCAATCACACAGACTTCAACAAGCTCAGGAAGAGGGGTGTCAAGGATTCGGGGACCTTTCGGCCAGTGATTGGTCTACGATGCTTGTATCTGTGCGGATCACGCTTTAATCCTATCCTTCTTGCATGTGTCCCAACCCCATGCAGCTCGTCACCTTTTGGCGCTCGACCATCACATCCTGGCAAAGTGTTCCTAGTTTGTTTGAGTTATCAGAGGGGTGATTTGTCTAAGTATAGACTCTTATACCTAACCCCCCGCCTGCACGCATGTCACTCGGAACATGCTTTTTTTTTCTTCCCCATACGAACTACGGTACCACGATAAGCCCTTGCAATATATCCGCTCTCCATGTGCTCGGATTATCCAACTCAATAAACATCTCTATGTCTTGCTGGATCGTATGATGAAGTGATTCTCTCACAGAATCTGCCGCAACTATTTGGGGTTTGCGACATCTGTCGCCCAAGATTAGCCTTGCACTTTGTCACACAAGTGACTTTATTTCCTCCGAGGTCTTCGCTAGCTAAAGCTTTTCCACGCACAACAATACAGTTCCCATAGTTCAACAAAATGGGCAGGCTCATCAAGAACCACTGGGGGCGCTTAATCATCCTCACCGCAGCAGCTTGTACGTTGCTATCTAAACCCCCAAGTCGAAGCCGGCACTGACATATTCAAACAGACCAAGTCGCCAGCGCTATCGAGGGCTTTATCTGGCCCAAGGTATTCTGGGACTTTATCTCCAGGAACCTCGATGCGGCCGTCGCCCCAGTACCCGTTCTTCAAATCCTAAATCTCGTCATGGGCCTCGTGGGCATAGCCTGGGAATGGCCTCTCAAGCCATTTGCTGGCTCACTACCGCACCGCAGCATTGAAATCCGTCTCATCATATACCCCCTCAACGCCCTCCTCGCGGCGCTTCTCTATCAAGGCACCGACCCTGCAATATATTATTTGATTGGCATCGGTGTCTATTTCTGGGCCTACAGTGAAGGCGAGGTATGTTGCGCATATTTTTGACATAGGTTGTTCTTATGCTAACGAGTGGATATAGGTCGTCTGCCCGGAGCCTTGGACCTTGCCGAAACGACATGGACTATTTAAAGCATAACATTGGTTCAGTCTGGTGCATTGAGTGTAGCAGACACATATCATTTAGATATCCTAATACATAATGAATTTGATGACTTGAAAGAGAAGCATGGCTTGTATCATTAATCTCCATCATCGTCATAGAGAATGCGTGGGGAATATTCCTCCTGCAGAATTCTCAACTTGCATAGACCTAAATTATCATTTTCTCCAATTGACAGTCATAAAACTGTTCACTTCTCATATTCTCATCATACGTTGATGCCTTGTCAAGGAGGCATAAACACGTGGACGACCCACCTGGCACGTGATACCCTATTCAAACTCCAAGAAAAACGTCATCTTGACAATAATACTTTCATGAAAGCTCAAGAAGATCCAGAAGATACATTATAAATGCCTTGTGCATCGTTTATATGTCATGGACGACTTTAGGGCTGCTTGGAACCCGAGAACTAACCAAATCTGACTGACACCAAACAAGATGGCTCCGTCTACAGAAATCCAATCCAAAGTCGAGGAAGACGAGCTCGCCCTTGAAACTGTCGAGGATGTCCCAGTCAACAAACTCACCAGCTTCAATGGCCGACTGCAGCAATACCTGCATAGCGGGACCGCAGCGCACGAAGCCCCAACTGCCTCTCGGGGTACTATATCGCAACGCCGCATAAACACCAAGACCGAATATAAACCAGACATTACCGAACGTCAAGCAAAAGCCACAATATCCAGCCCAAGGCGCAAGAGAACAGCGTCAGCAACCTCATGCACCACCCGCTCAAAGTCGACCACAATAGCCACGCCTCCATCCCCAATCCCACCTCGCCAAAGCCCAAACAAACGCAAGCGCAGCACAGCAAATCCCCAAACCCCACCCATACCCGCAATCGCCGGCCCTTCAGCGACAGAATCCCTCCTTCGCGACACAATCCCCCCAAACCTGATCCTCCTACTCGTAGGCGTGAATCCCGGAATAATGACCGGCGTAACGGGGTACGCCTACGCGCATCCGTCCAACCTATTCTGGAAACTGCTCTATTCATCAGGGATAACAAGTGTCCGCCACATACCCGCCGATACATACAAGCTTCCGGCGCTGTACAGCGTGGGCAACACGAACATCGTGGAGCGGCCGACGCGCGACGCGAGCATGCTCAGTCGCGCGGAGATGGATGCCGGCGTGCCGGTGCTCGAAGCAAAGGTTGCTGCGCAGAGGCCTGAGGTTGTTTGTCTTGTTGGAAAGAGTATTTGGGAGGCTGTTTGGCGGGTTAGACATGGGAGGGGGATTCGGAAGGAGGAGTTTCGGTATGGGTGGCAGGCGGAGACGGAGAATATGGGTCGGGTTGATGATTGGGCTGGGGCGCCGGTTTTCGTAGCTACGACGACTAGTGGGCTTGCGGCGGGGATGAAGCCGGCGGAGAAGGAGGCTGTTTGGGCGGAGTTGGGAAGTTGGGTTGTGAGGAGGAGGGGAGAGAGGGGGTTGGATCCTGTGGTGGTTAAGGAGGAGGTTTGATATGGGTTTGCGATTTTCTGTGGCTTTCATTTGTATAGATGATGTCGCTGTACCATATACTATCATAAGCTATGACCATTGCTTTTAAATATATTGAACGGCTTTACAAATGGGAATGTTCGGGATTAAGTTAAAAGTATTTGTATTTATTTGTAAGACGAGTGAGGTTGCTCATCATTCATTATCTCATAATATCAGGTGCAGAAGCCTGTTGAGTACCAAGATGCAAAGATGCAAACCCAGAAACAGCAAAAACTCCCTCTAAGCCCATTCCAGGGCTAAAGATTGAGGGTGTTGCATGACGTTTCCCCAAATGATCAAGCGCCAAAGTGCCATACAACGGACGATCGAGGGATGTGAATATCTCAGTAGAGGTCAATGTGAGGGGTAAAGGAAGGGAGGTAGTTGTCCAGGGCGTGGTTCAATAGAACATCGATGCCTGGCTAGCCTCCCCATTAACCCCGAAAGGAGTAGAGGGTAGATTTAGCGGCTGCCGTTGGAGTCATTCTTGCCGCCCTCACGCTCGCGTGCCTGTTGAAGTTGAGTTAGTATACAGAACCTCGCAATTGATGCACCGAAGTGGAACTGAAACTTACAGTGGAAGCCTGGAATTCGCCGCCTTCTAGGATCTTGACCATGCATTCATCCTCGTTGGATGTACCGAATTCGTTCTGAAGAGAGCTCTTGCTGGCAGTGTCAAGGACGCCCTGGGCTCCGTGGCTGCATCCAGATGTTAATGATCTGACGTATAGTAAAAGAAGTTTGAAACACTTACGAGTGAGTCAGGAAGATCTTCCAGCCATTAAGAACTTCGGTCAGGGGAATGCTGCGGTCGCTCTTCCACTTCTGGAGACTCTCGATATCATCCACAAAGACAACGAAGTCGTCTGAGCTACCCTTGTAGAAGATCTTAGAAGCAGTGTCGTTTCCGCGAGCCATATTGAAAGGATGTGAGGTTTGAGGTTGAGAGATTGAATAGATTTCAAGATTTGAAGATTTGAAGATATCAGAAAGATATTGATGAATGAGAAGAAGCGAAAGGTAAAAGGTGGTGGTTTAATAGTCCGAGGTGGGAGAGCTCAGGTGATGATGACTGATGACGTCACCCTATGAGCTGATGCAAATAGAAGAAGCTCGCGTGTTTTGTTCACGTCCTCTGCAGTCTGAATGGGACAACTAACCACAATTAGTCAGAGTGGATAGGGCTTAAATGGCGTTTGTCGTTCTAGTCCCTTGCTTCACTACAGTTCTTACACAGCGCGCCAACTATTCCAGCAAAGACGACGTCATAGGAGCTCCCCTGCCCGCTGTCGGATCCGCTGTGACGCCAAACGTGGGGTAGTTCTGAAAGAGCCAAGTGGCAAGTTGGAGGATAAAGAGGACTCTGCTGGTATTCCAATTAATAATTACTTATAGTCCAAGCCACAATTACGTTTTTGGGTTAATTATAATCCCTCCTTGACTTCAATGCTCCCGCCGAATGTACTAGAACCATCTCAAAAGGACAACGTAAAAATAGGAACCTCACTCAGCATCGGAGCGGGTCTTTTTCAGCTTCTTGGGTGCCAAGGCACTAAACAGATTCTTCGGAGATGACCACTTTTGGGGAGACGACCACTTCTTGGATGACGGAGATGATTCGGAACTTCCATCTTGGCTCCGGCGCTTGTCGCTGCGAGGTGAAGAAACAGACGCCGTGGGGTTCTTAGGTGAGCCTTTGAAAAGGAACGTCTTCGACCGCCGAGGCGTGGTGGGCGTCCGAGGCACCTCACATTCGACTTCCTTATCCTCCCCTATCTCGCTGCTACCTGCTGCCTCCTTGTCCATTCTCTCGTTCTCTTCGTCCGAGTGCATGTCCGTCGATTCTGCTCTCGAATGGAAAGCCCCGACGGAGCTCGACCGCCTGGTAAACCCTGGACGAAGGCTGAGCCGTCTCATGATCGAACCACGTCGGAAGAGATCACCCCTTCCAAGAACCATTCCTGGCAATGGAAGGAGGTCTCCTGTGTAGATATCTGAGATCAGTCGCTCCAGCCGGATGCGGTCTATTCGGCGAGCAGTCAATGTCAATGCCGAGCGGTCAGTAGATGTCTTAGGCCGTTCAAGCTCGCCTTCAGCCTGTGAGGCTGTTTCTTCGGTGTGGCGTGGGTCATTTGTTTTCTTGATGACTACATGTTGGACACGGAACTTGCGGGAGATTGCCATAGAATCCATCGATGACCTCCGCGCCATAGAAGACACTGTGTATTGAACGTGGTCCAAAGGTAACAGTTGGAGGGTTAAGAAAGAATGTTTTCTTGGTTCCCACGTCCTGGGTTGGGCCACTTCTACCAAAGCCGCCGACATTTTGAGAATCTCAGTATTCCATTGCTTTTCTTCCACTGCCGATGATGCACTGAGAACAAATTCGTAGTTCTCATCTTTATTTTCAAACAGGAGCTTCCATGAAAATATACATCCGTATGAGCACAGTCCTGATGGGTTAGATATCGGGGATAAATCTCAGCGGAAAGTTACTCACCTCGTCCATTTTGAAGCGTATCAATCTTGAGAGAGTCTAGATAGACACAAGCCACTGCTTCCAGTCGACGCAGGTCATCAATCCCCTTGGCAAAGAGAAGGTAGCGTTGAAAAAGTACACAGACCATGAACTCCCCGTTAGTGGTGTCCATGGTTTGATATGTGACATGGAGCACACCGCACATGACCAACGGGCCAAGGTCTTTGTATATACTCTGAAGTGCATGCTGCCCAAAATTCAGTCATGTTCATCTCATCAATGAAGATCTTGTGCCTACCGATTCCGAGATATCCACCTTGTCCTGGAGAACGATTGTCTTGTCGATACGATCTTTGTTAATCGGGTTTCCAGCTGATAAATTGACCCGTGTTACTAGCAACCGTATACTGTCCAATACTTGCTGGATTCCATCATGAGAAGACGGACAATCACTGACAGGAGTAGACCTGAGCAGATCTTGTAGGACAAGGGGGTATTTGCAAAGACGTTGGATGGGCTATATTCCGGTTAATGGTCGAAGCACTCATCATATTTATCTCACGCACCTTGATTAACAAATCATTCAATGTCATTGATTTGTGGTCCTCTTGTCTGCGTCGCTCAGTAGACGCGACCGATTTCGAAAGTGCCTCGATTCCCTGATCATATATCGTCCAGTTGGCAATTGAGCGGCGTAGGAGAGCAACATCCTGTGTCAATAGTTCATAGTTGCTGCAAAATTGGTCATACGCTGGGAATGAAAGTGCCTATAAAATGCCCAGTCAGTGCATACAATCCTATCTAGTACACCAATGCTTACCAATTTTTCAAGTTCACGGGCCACTTCCAGTCCCTCTGTTGGTTCAGCAGTGAGTGCCATGAGGCGCTGATTGACCGATGCCTTGAGTGATCGAGTCCTCAAGGATCGTTGCTGAAGTCCCTTTAGGCTGCCCAGATCAAGGGACCCTATACGTTTAGTGATTCCGCGAGACGTAAGCTCAGAGGCACCTGCCTGTTGGGCCTGAGGTGCTGACATGGGAGATGCTCTCTGAAGTTGGTTCAAAAAGCGTTCATGTATTCCCAAAATTTCCTGGATGTTGTCGTAGATCTCGCGTCTCGTATCGAAGATCGTAAGGATCTATGTGTTTACAGAGCACATTAGCATCAGGCTAAGGAATGACAGTCAGCTCAATGGCTTACCCCGATAAGGGCCTTCAGACCAAGTACATAATCAGACTCAGTCTCAACAAGTTCCTGTAGGATATGACGCCGTCTGGTGGCCCGTGTTTCCGCAGCCTCATCAGTATGCTGGCTTAAGCTTGGCCGAGAGCTGTCACCAGAATGACGCGCACCCGATAGTGAACTCTGGTTTGTTGCGCTTTGAATCGTTGTCCTTGATCTTATCAAGCTCTGGCTTCCAATGCTTGCTGTGGTTGTTTTGACGGTTCCGAGGTGCGATGAGTCGGATGCACTCGACTGGTGACCTTGCGAGCCATGGGAAGATGAATCTGACCAGCCCTCCACATATCGCCGTTGGCATGTGGGAGATTCGTGTTTCCGTCCTCGGAAGCTATCTATCCATTTCTTGAATGGACGAGAAGTTGACTTATCGGCTAGAGTCACCCCACCGCCGCTTTCGAACTTCTCTTCGGACTCATCATTTAGCAGGGCTTGCTTCTCGATGTTCATCTCGTCCTGGTCGGCCATGGTCCCAAATAGCGATCCCGCCCAATGAAATACAGGACTCAGGTTCCGAGGGCATGGAGAAAGAAAAGGCGGACCTAACCGACTACGCAAAACAACGGAATGGAACTTCATGGCGAGGGAAGAGCAAGAAAGTATGCCTGCCTCGTCTACATTCCCGACGTTGGAAAGTGCATGTATCTAAAACAGAGGAAGCTGCCACTATCCAGGCAGTACAGAGTAGAGACAGCGAATTTGAATTCCATCCATGTACGTCATCAGGTGAGGCAGCAGTATAGCTAGAATTGAAATAGTGCATTTTGATTGTTTTATATTAGGAGTAACTGAGCTTTTTTTTTTATATCAAACATCCAAGTGCAATGTCCTGAAAGTGAAGCTTACAACTTGAAGTCCATGTCGTATACTTCGAGTGCCAAGCATCGCCGCTTATATAAAAAAGTGGGAGCTCCAGGGCCACCCCCAGACCCACTTGACGTTCTTCTCCCACTTTCTTTCTTTGCTCAGGAAATCATCATGAACGATAACATTCACGCCCCAACTGTTGCCTCTGGACCGACGTCCGGGGTCACTCCCCGCGATCTGTCCAAACTGTCGATGCCAGATCTGATGCAGGAGAAAGAACGCATCGAGGCGGAATTGTCAGCTCTTAGTAGCGTCCTCCAGTCGGTGAGATTTCTGGCCTAGAAGTTCCCATCGCGGTTTCTAACAAGCATTTCGTGTTAGCATGGAGTCCGCATGACTTCGTCTCTCACAACCTTCGACGGTTTCCCCCGTGATGATATTGACATCGCGCAAGGTACGCCCTTACCATACCCCAGTCAATCGGGACATATAGCTGAAGGGAGAATGTAGTACGCACAACGCGCGTGCGCATTATTCACCTACGGAACGACCACAAGGAGGTGATGCACCTCCTCGAGAAAGGTGTCCATGCGCATTTCGCCAACCTACAAAATACGCAAGACGCTGGCCCAACCACAAATGGCACTAACGTCCCACCGGCTGTGCAATCGTTGACAAATAACACCGTGTTGGGGACACCGTTCGCCAAGGTCAATAGCGTGGTTTCGGGAAGTCCAGCAGACCAAGCGGGACTGAAAGCTGGCGATGCAATTCGAAGTTTTGGGAATATAAATTGGCTGAACCATGAGCGCCTTGCTAAGGTAGCTCAAGTGGTCAAAGACAACGAAGGGGTACGTTCGGTTCTCCCACGCTCTGTCAAAATACCCATATATCTGATTCACTTCCTCTACAGCGGGTGGTATTGGTCAAAGTCTCTCGGAAGACTGATGAAACGAACACTGACACCACAGTGGACTTGGACCTCCAGCTCACCCCTCGGCAAAATTGGGGCGGCCGTGGCCTGCTAGGATGTCACTTGGTTCCCTTATAAGGGGTACTTCCATTTAGAATAACAAGCACAGCCCGGTTTTGCTTTCACCGTGTACATGATAATATGTACTGCTTATGAATAACGCGATTAATGCCATACGTCCTTTCTACCTGATTTCACAATATACTAGTTAGGCTCTTGTAATAAGACTGGGGAACCGTATACATCTGAAGATAACTTGGCAGGCGAACGACCTGACCATGAGAGTTTATTCCAATAACCTAACACAAGAATAAGTAGAGTCCATTGTGAATATAATACTTCAATTGCAATAAACATTGTCATACACACTAACTTCACATATGTTTGCGCCATATTGACACTACGTCAGAGCGCCTCAGGCAAACATCCACGTGACTCCCAGCAACGGGGCAAAAATTCCATCGAGCGCCATTAATTCATTCCCCTTCTTTCACCCCTCCCTTTTATCAACAACCCGCCCCCATAACTACGGCGCGAACTCTTGCAATTTTCTTCTCTTCAAGTTTCTCTCCAAACTATCTTAATCATGGCTGCTGAAACCCCCACTTTCAAGCTCGTCCTGGTCGGTGACGGTGGTACTGGAAAGGTAAGCGCATTCCAGCCTCGCGATCTGATTGTTGATGGGCAAGGGAGTGGCAGCCATCTGCTCGGCGCTCAGTGATGGTCATTTCATGATATTGATGGATACACTGAGCTGCCCTTTTCGTTGCTAGCCTCTGCCCGCGCGCCTGTCAACAATACTGATTATCTGCCCAACGGCCCCGCCTCACCGCGACTTCATTACTAACACAGTGAATTCCAACAGACCACCTTCGTCAAGCGCCACTTGACTGGTGAATTCGAGAAGAAGTACATCGCCACCCTGGGTGTCGAGGTTCACCCTCTCAACTTCAACACCGTATGCTATACCCCGCCACAAACCCCGCTTCGCATAGTGTCATGGTGTCATCGTCAACTAACCCAACCTGAATAGAACTACGGTGCTATCCAGTTCGATGTCTGGGATACCGCTGGTCAGGAGAAGTTCGGTGGTCTCCGTGATGGCTACTACATCAACGGCCAGTGCGGTATCATCATGTTCGATGTTACTTCCCGTATTACCTACAAGAACGTCCCCAACTGGCACCGTGAGCGATCCTCTCTCTGATAATGAACCCCTCCAGATTATTTTGACTAACTGAACTTTAGGTGATCTCGTCCGTGTCTGTGAGAACATCCCCATCGTTCTCACTGGTAACAAGGTCGACGTGAAGGAGCGCAAGGTCAAGGCCAAGACCATCACCTTCCACCGCAAGAAGAACCTCCAGTACTACGATATCTCCGCCAAGTCCAACTACAACTTCGAGAAGCCCTTCCTTTGGCTCGCTCGCAAGCTTGTTGGCAACCCCCAGCTGGTACGTCATTTTATGCCTGGATTCGATACGAACCGATCAATACTGACTGATTACCTTTTAGGACTTTGTTGCCGGAATTGCCCTTGCTCCCCCCGAGGTTACCGTCGACGAGAAGCAGCTCGAGGCTTACCGCAAGGAGATGGAGGAGGCCGCCAACCAGCCCCTCCCCGACGAGGACGATGCCGACCTGTAGATCGTTGCGCTCAACGACGGGTCCACGAAGTTTCCGAAATGAAAATTGGGAGTCGCTATCCCTTGTTCTCCCACCCTATGTTCTCTCGAGTCCCATCTCACAATCGACGTGTGGGAGGCAGGGAGTATTCGACTCCCGGGGATTGCCTTTTTTTAGTTTGGGTTTTGCACTGCAAAAGCAAAGTCTCTTCTCCGAAATCACGATACAATGAAAGCGGATGGGGGATAGTCGTGGTTTGAAGACATGCATTTTTTTCCTTTTTGATTTCCCCCAATCTTAGTAGCTTAGATTCTCACATCAAATCGTCCTTTTTTCCCTTTGCGAAATGAGCACACAGCGTCCGAAATGGACGTCCTCTTTCGACAAGATTTAAAACTTCTTTTCTTTTACTTTGAAAATCTATTCACCAGATGGATCTAGATCTCTGAAATTCTCGTCAAGTGAACACTAAATCTAATCTACCTGAAAAAGGATTGTAAGGTTGGCCGTGTAGACATTATTGAATAGCAGTACAACGCTTCTTCCACGAGAAAAAAAAGAATAACGCCAGGGTATAGCAGTCATTGGCCTCCAAAAAAAGAGAACGAAAGGATGAAAGAAACAAAGAAACCGCAAATGATTTCGCCAGATACCCATCACTGGGATAGGGCAGAAAATGAAATATCAATCATATCATCGGACTATTTCCAGTCGATCGAGATCATCTGGCAAAGAGAACAGATGCAATCAAGCAAAATTACAAGTCTCTCACACCCTGTGTAACGGATAAGGAGTTAGCAAAGAGTCCAGTCAAAGTAGAAAACGAGGAAAATAGGGATAAACATACGAAGAGATAAGCAAGTTCCCTCGCATCTAGTCGGGAGACATTCATGGTACCGCCCTCATCGAGAGCACCACTGATAAGCTCACGCTTCTGGTCCTGAAGAGTAACAATGCGGTCCTCAACAGTATTCTCGATAAGCAGACGGTGAACGAAGACCTCTCTAACCTGCCCGATGCGATGGGCACGATCAACGGCCTGGTCTTCAATGTACGGGTTCCAGAAGGGGTCGAACATGATGACATGCGAAGCGGCGACGAGGTTCAGACCGGAGTTGCCGGCCTTGAGGGAGACGAGCATGATCTTGCAGTCAGGATCATTGGTGAAAGCCGTCACAGCGGCGTTGCGCTCCTTCAGATTCATGCTGCCGTCGAAGCGGGTGTGGTTCCAGCCGCGGCGGGCCAGGGGGACTTCGAGAAGATCCAAGAGGGAGGTGAACTGGCTGAAAATGATAGTTTTCTCCTCTAAGCCGCGGTCTTCATTGGCTTGGAGGATCTCCAGCGTCTTTGTGATTTTTGTGCTGGGGAACCAGCCCTTCTCGAGGCGGCGAATGTATTTCTTCTTCTCGGCCTTGTTCCTCAAAGCGTCCTTGCGCAGCTGGGCTAGAGACTTCGCCTTCGTTTTCTTCTTTGATTCCGCATCGCCCTCTCCAGTAGAGCTATCGGAGTCAGACTCTTCACTGCTCGCTGTTGCTTCTGGGTCTTCGTCGTCATTGGGCCCGTTGGTATCACCGCCTCCGGCGGCAAATTCGGGCACTGAGGTTGGATCGTGGACCTGCTTGAATGCATTGGTGTCGGTGAGTTTCGCAGGGTCCACGGGCCCTCGGCAGTTCTGGCACTTAATCACAGCTGGACCATCGTCTTCGAGGTTGATGGCTCCGTTTGCAGTTGCAGAGTCGGAAATGCGGATCCAGCACTCCGAGCACACATGGTGTCCACATGGAATGTAAATAGTCGCATTTTTGACACTGTCCATGCAGACAGGGCAGGTGCCATCCTCTTCGCCGTCATTATCTTTGATACGTTGCACTACAGCAGCGGTCAGAAGTTTAGCGTTGGCGATCTTATCCACCCCCGGGATAGACGGGGAGGGTTCGTTTCGGAAATCCTGCATGAGAAGTGGATGGCAGCATGCCTGCCGAAGACGGAGAAGGAGAACTAGAACATGGCTGTAGTTCCTGCCCAACGTGCCTGAGTCAAGGTACCGGGTGATCTGCCTTTGAGTGGACGTATTGAGTTCCTCATAAACCTGGCTTTCTCTCTCATCAAACACAACATGGACCTTCTCGGTGACCTTTGGTGGGAGTTGCAAGATGGGCTCGCCATCAATCTTGGAGGATTTTGTGCGTCGGAGACAGACAGACTTGACTAGAACGCGTAGTTGCTTCATGACATCTTCGCCTCCCCAACCAGATTTAATGCGTCTCACGAAGTCCTGGATAGATATAAATGTCAGTCAGCCAAAGAAGCATACATCAATTGTGAACTATAGAGAGTACTAACCGCCTTAAACTTTGCTGGGTTGCTATAAGGCCGAATCCGGAGGAATCCCAAAAGGGACTGGAAATCTTCGAGACGATTCATCATAGGCGTACCAGTCAGACACCAGCGGTAGGTAGCATTGAGTCGACAACATGCTATTGCCGATTTCGCACTTGGGTTCTTGATGTTCTGTGCTTCATCGATGATGACGCGATGCCACTTGGCAGCAGGACTGAGAGGACCGGCCGCATTTTTGAGGTCTTGGATTATCGAGGGATCCCGCCCTTCCTCTGCCAACTTTTCCGCCTGGAGCAATGTTTTGTAGTGCGCAGTGATTGTACCAAACGTAGTGATAATGATATCATACCTTTTGAGCTCCTTCCAGGGCCTGCGCCGTTGATGGTAGATCAAGACTGATAATTGGTGCCTGCCCGGCTTGACATGACGCTGGATTTCAAGTCTCCATTGATCCATAAGTGCCTTGGGCGCGACAATCAAAGTCGGGCGTCGGTCTTCATCCTCGAATGGGCGAGCAACCATCAGTGCAATCGCTTGGATGGTTTTACCAAGTCCCATGTCATCTGCAAGAATTCCTCCTTTGTGGTTGCTCTCTTCTTTGGCCTTCATCCATCTCAGGCCAATCTTCTGATGCTTCATCAACGTGACTCGAAGAGCACTTGGTGTCTCATCATTGTCCGCTTTAGTTGCCTCTCGAATATCTTTGATACCGCTGAGCAAGTTCTTGATATCTTCAGGAAACTCCTTCTCGTTGTAGGCCCTATATTAATTGAGGTTAGAATCAGAACTACCTGCTTCAAAGGATGCGGACGTACACTATGTCAGCATCGTCGTCGAATATTTCGCTTTGGTTGCGAACCAGGTCAAAGGCCTTGTCAAACTTGTCGAATTTGTCATACTTCTCAAATGTACCCGGCATTGTAGCGTACGGATGCTCATGCGACCAGGGAAGGTTTCTGGAGGCAGCTGCTGATGTGGAATATGGCATTGAGGAATTTGACAATTGGGAGGGATAGGCCAGCTGCGAAGGATACGGCAATTGGGAAGGATATGACATTTGGGAGGGATATGTCAACTCGGAGGGATATGGCAATTGAGAGGGGTATGTCAACTCGGAGGGATATGGCATCCGCGAGGGATAAAGTCCCTGTGAAGTGTACGGTGATTTGGAATACTGCGAAGGGAGAGATGGCAGGTGGGGATATGAACTGGATGGGCGGGCTGGCTGCTTGCCGGATCGATCTTTGAATGAATCGGCTGTGATTTCTTGAAGATCATCGTCGGAATTGAATGGATTGAGTTTATTGAATGGGGCTATCGGGGCATATGCTTGAGGTGCACGATTGGGGTTTGATGAAAGATGTTCGAGTTTTACCGGTTGACTGCGGTCAGGAATATTCCATGTATGACGCTCATTGGAACGGGGGAGTTGACTATGATCCTCGTCGGCTTGGAGCGCGCGAGCCAATTCCGCGTCTCGTTCCATTTGAAACTCTGTTTCAATCAACTTCGCCTGCTCCTCACACTCTTCCCGAAGTTCGTTTATTTCATCTGCATCGTCACCTGCCGCATCGATCCAGTGCTTGTACAAGCGCTGATTCTCGGCAAGGCGGGCTTCTTGTGCAGCATCTATCTCGTCGAGTTTAGATCTGTGAGATTTAGGCTGCGAGGGAGCAATCCTTTTTGATGATCCCTGGATCGTGGGCGAGACCTGAGATAGCGGACGCTGGCGTTTACGGGAATTATCTGGAGAAGGCTGTATCATTGATGAAGCTGGCAGCAATATCGATTGGCCAGATCCGGCCGCGAAAGGTGAGGGTGCAGCAGAAGGCCAGTGAGGGGACGCAAATGAATCCCCGGGGATTCCAGTGAAAGTGTTGGACGCCTTGCGTGGAGTAGCCGCAGGCGTCCGGACTGGCGGAGTAGGGGATGTCACTTGTGGTGTTGGGGCGGCTTGAGAAGTAGGAACAGGATCACCAAGGAGCGTGGCAACCTGGACTTCCATATTTTTGATGGTATCACGAAGCTCATCTGCTTCTGCACAAGGACCCCGCGTCGCGAGGAGATCATCGTATATGTATCTGTAGGTATCGAGATCCTCCAAAAGGTCTTTGATCTTGTCCTCTTGGGACTGATCGACCGAAGAAGCCATGGCTCAAGAGCACCTGGCGCTGACCGCGAAATGTTCCAAGACCAAAATATCTGACCAAAATATCCCGATCGTTGAGAGGGTAGAGAGTGAGGATGGCGATGGGTGTGACGGCTAGGACAGGAGGCAAAATCGTAGATCAATAGAGCTACCACATCAAGTGAGCGTATAGGGTGAAGAGTAAAGTGTTCTGGGAGAGTCAGCCGGTGAAACTTGGGTTCTCATCAGCAAACCGCAAGGCAGAAAGCGGGTAGCGGCAGATGGCAGATGGCACAGTGATGAAGAGAAAGAAAGCATAGAAGCAACTCATCAAATTGCGTCTCTGTGCCATCTCATATGGGTATTTGCAGAGGATGTAGACTTACACCGAGTACTATCGACGATTCACGGGGGAGAATCTGTGGATGACGGAGCGGATTTTCGGACCTCAGGAGCGAAGAGGTAGCGATCGCAGAAATGAGAGAGCCCTCGTTTCTATAGTGCAAAAGATCCGATGGGAAGGACATGGGAGTTGATGCTCTTTGCGACCGTTCAGCTGGCCCCGGGGGTCGAGATGTTCACCTCTGCGGGGGCAGTTGAAGTTCTCGCCCAATGTGTCATCCTCTATCGCGGTCTACAGCGACCATGAGGACTTTGATCCTATTGACTTTTATTGCCTGCAGAAAATTGGCTATCTGGAGAGACATGTTAGAAGACTCCCAGAAGATAACTATTTAAAAGACGTTTAGAAAGACGACAAAAAAGAGATGAGAGAGAGACAAATGATTGAAACATCTCTGAAATCATCTTACACCGACTAGATATTCAGATGATCCAAGTCCTATATCGGTAAGGGTAGAGGTGTATAAGCGGCCAACTATTCAACTCCCATGTAAATGACCAACTCACTATAAATCCAGAGAAACCTCATATCAAGAGGTTTATCTAGCAATTCAAGTACTCTCTACAGAGTAAATGTATGTTCAAGACGTTAGAAATTACTTCATAGAAGGCGGAGGCATAGGCGGAGGCATAGGCGGTAAAGCCTGAAAGCAAATCAAGCCCAAGTTCCTAATGGACGCTATCATCTACTATAGTTATGAGTACCTGCCAAGGTCGCACGAGGGAGTCTTCTACTTGAGCCTCCATCAGGCACTGTAGTTTTATTCATTGCTATATGTTGTACATCAGTATTGAAGTCCTACAGAAAATGTTCTTCAGTGATATAGACATATACTTCAGAGTATGTAGGTGATTCTACCTGCGTCGCTGTACAACCTTGATTGACATAAACGCGCTCTTATCAGAACGTGATCCTGCGCGTCACGCGCCAAACAAGCTAAACACAGGGCTAGATGATATTGCCCTACTATCCCAATTAGGCACTGGACACTCCAGGCATCTGGTACTAGTTTCAGCCATCCCGGAGTAGTTTCAAGATTTCGATCATGACTGTGAGAGGTTGATATGACTCATATGGTGCCTGGGCTGGAGGAATGGTCGATTTTCATGTTATAAGACAAGGAGTACAACATTCGACGTGAAGCTCAGGCTACAACTGATGCCGATATTCAGACCGGAGGAATATCTCTTACATGTAGCTGAAACGTAAACTAGGGGGATCACTTGGAGATATACTGAATTGTTCAACTACCAATCATCTACGTGTAGTGCCCATATTTCAATCAATTGGGTTGCTGCCTCGGTGATATATATCTGCAAAGGGTCTCCGCAGAAACGATCGATCCATCGATCATGGCATCGGAACAGGGACTGGTTCGACTATGGAAGACGAAGCACATCCCAGAAGTTCTCAAGAGCTATCTAGCAAAAAAAGACCTCACCGCATGCCGTCTAGTATCTCGAGAGCTCGCTGTCTACATCGCACCAATCCTCTTCGCAGACATTGAAGTCCGTTTCCGCAGCAGCACTTTCAACAGGCCATCACGGATGGCAGCTCTAGAGCGTATCGGGGGACACATCCAGGCCATGACATTTAAGATCTCACATGATAGGGAGACCTTCTTACCTCCAATCCTGGATCCAATCATGGGGACAGAACAGACGTTCATCTACACACCACAACGACGCCAACATAGTGGCAGCCGGCAAATGACAGAGTTATTAGTCAAGCAGTACCCGCCTCTGTTCCATGCATCTACAAACATCCCATCATTTGTCCAGGCATTGACGATGATGAGCGGCTTGCAACATCTGTGAATCTCCTGTGAGGGTCAGCTACCAAGCCATCGCTATCGCCGAAGTGTAGTAGATTATGCATTGATCTCATTGCGAATGGCAATCCAGCAAGCACTATTGAAAGATCTCCACACCTGTCATTATTATCAGTCCACCCAGGAGCGGTCCTTTACCTGCGTCCAGCTCTAGGATTTGGTGCTTCGCCTGCATCCTGCAAGCGCTGGTCCCAGACCTGCAAGCTCACGGTCCAAATGACGAATTTCGGCCATGAGCCAGGTCAACCGACAGACCACCTCAAGCTCCTCCACGCATACCTAGCAAGCTTCCCATCTCTGCAAAGACTGGTCTTTCATTGGGAAGGCGAGAGGGGCCTATCACCTCTATCACTTGCAACAAAGCCGAGCCTCAACAGCAAAGCCACAGGAAAGCAAAGTCAAGCATGTCCTCAGAGATGCGCGTCACTCTTACGGCCATTGAAATTCAAGCATCTTCAGCAGATGGAGCTGGTCAATGCAACAATGGACGCGTCGCAAGTGGCGTCTTTCATCTAGGAGCACCGGAGTTCCCTACGAGAGTTCAACTTCGGGAACGTGGTGCTTCGCGGCGGAAATTGGGACGACGCGCTCGCGCCGTTGACACGACTCAGGGGCAGCGAAGGGTGGAAGCAGGGGCAGCGCGACACCGACACCGTGGATGTGCCGATAGTGTTGACTCCAGCTGGAGTCAGCCAGAAACAATTATATAAGGCGATTTGTGCTCTGCAGCAACAAAAGGGACCGAGGACGCTGAGAAGCTTGGCCAAAGCGCGATCCCGGACACGTGAGCTGCTGTTGTGAGACGCGGATCATATGAAGCGGCTGCTTCGGTCTTCGGTGTTTAGTTGGCGGTGACGTCAAGAGCAAGGGGTACGTAATGTTCTCTTCCAAGGAAGGAATGGCATAGGCTAAGACCAACAACCGTAGTAGTGTCGCGGCGAATACCGCATTTGTGAAACTTTCAGGTCCCAATGCAACCTCAGCGTGGTTCGTGTGGAGTCGGGGGGGGGGGGGGGGGGGGGGGTGGGCCAACGTGCCACCAGGGGCAACCGGGAGAGGGGGACCAAACCTTTGCCGGTACCAAAAAAAATTCCA